TTCCCATTGGTTTAAAAATGTGCTCCAAAATGGCCCATAATGCTAGCTCAAATCCCAGAAAACCTAACATTCCTTCATGTTTGAGAATCCCATTTTGTTCTTATTAATCTCTTGAGAGCAAAGACAATCCCATTAACCCTGTCAGCAAATATCAGGAGTGTAGACTGGTGTTTTAGATGGTAGTGACCATCCTAGTAGCTTTTAGAATCTGCGTCTACCATTAGAATGTTTTCTTACTCTGAGAATGTTTTTAGAAGCAAGCAAGGGGAAAGAGCCAAATCATTTAAAAATGCACATAAGCAAGCCAAAATGAAACCAAAATCAGAGTGTTCACAAAAACTTTAACCCAGGCATGCTGACCAAACAAAATATTAAACTAGGCATGCAGGCCATGTGAATTCACCAGAAATACATGCCTCAGACACAGGATATAAATTATGTAGAATCCAGGATGCTCAAACCAGAAGGGTAGTTGTCTTTATACCAGAAAGGGCTTGTCATAAAAGAAAGTCTTATCATTCTAGGAGAGAGATAAGGTTCTTTATTAAGGTGGCCTTACAACCAAAACAAACCCCATATGAAGTCATAAACCACTCACCAAAGTGAGGGAGGATGAGAATCTGAGAAGAGATTCACTGGGGCATAAAAAGTAACTCATGGAAACAGAGAATGTAGAGGCCTCAGTTGTACCACATTTGATTCCAGGGGCTGCTGATTCTTCTGAAGTGAGCTCACTTTGATCCCACTTCTGACACCATTTATATCAATAACAGAGAGAGGCTGTCTAAAAGAAAATGGTATTTACTTGGGAATAGAGCATTCATGTGTGTTGGTAAATTGTGTGTATATATATATTCATGGAAGCAAAGAATTATAAAGATTTTTAAAGGAGAATTAAGAGGATTATGTGATTGCTTCAGATAATTACTTTTGGCTACAAGGATTAATAACAAGCATGGTGCTAGTCTGAGGTCAGGCAGGCAGTTGCTGGGCAGACGTCTTTACAGAAACATTTTGTGTGTAGGACTGCAATGGCCTTTATGCAAGATTGTGGTTTCTTTTTTTCTTTTCTTTTCTTTCTTTCTTTCTTTCTTTTTTTTTTTTTTTTTTTTTGAGACAGAGTCTCCCTCTATTTCCCTGGCTAGAGTACAGTGGTGTGATCTTGGCTTATTGCAATCTCTGCCTCCTAGGTTCAAGCAATTCTCTTGTCTCAGCCTCCAGAGTAGCTGAAATTACAGGCACGTGCCACCATGCCTGGCTGGTTCTTGAATTTTTAGTAAAGACAAAGTTTCGCCATGTTGGCCAGGATGGTCTCAAACTCCTAACCTCAGGTGATCCACCTGCTCAGCCTCCTAAAGTGCTGGGGTTACAGGTGTGAGCCACTGTGCCCGGCTGCCAGGTTGTGGTTTCTGCAGAGCCTTTTGTGATAGCCCTTGTTATTAGGCATTTGTACATGAGAACTCTCTCTTCATGGCCTTCCCTAGATGTATTTATTAAGGTGTTTGTTTGTTTGTTTGTTTGTTTTTGTTGTTGTTGTTGTTTAACACAAGTGACCTCATTTTGATTTGGACAACGTTCATACTACATTCTAATCTTCTAATTGAGAACTGTTTCCTGGAAACCCAAACCTGAAACAGCGCCCTTGGAGCTGATACTAGATGAGAATGAACCAGATGGTTGAAAAGCTAGGAACAGGCCAGGTGCGGTGGGTGGCTCACGCCTGTAATCCCAACACTTTGGGAGCCCAAGGCGGGTGAATCACCTGAGGTCAGGAGTTCAAGACCAGCCCGACCAATATAGTGAAACTCCATCTCTAATAAAATACAAAATTAGCCGGGCATGGTGGCAGGCGCCTGTAATCCCAGCCACTTGTGAGACTGAGGCAGGAGAATTGCTTGAACCCGGCGGGACGGAGGTTACAGCGAGCCAAGATCACGCCACTGCACTCCAGCCCAGATGACAGAGCAAGACTCCATCCTCCTCCCCAGGAAGAAAAAAAAAAAAACAAAAAAAAAACTAGGAACAAAAAATTCAAATAGAAAAAAAATCAAAACCCTTGGGTTGGAAAGCGCTTCACATGTTGATTATGTTTTGAATCAGAAGTGGTGCCAGTGTACAATTGGACAGGCAGGACCATTCTGGCTGTTGTGAGGACGGTGACTGGAAACAAGAAGACAAATTGGAGGCTTTGATAGTAGCTCAGGTAGGATATGATGGCACCATGGACTAGGCTGGTGGCACTGGAGATCACAGTATAAAGATTCAAAACAGGCCAGGTACGGTAGCTTACACCTGTCGTCCCAGCACTTTGGGAGGCCGAGGCGGGTGATCACCTGAGGTCAGGAGTTCGAGATCAGCCTGGTCAACATGGTGAAACCCCGTCTATACTAAAATTACAAAAATTAACTGGGTGTGGTGGCGGGTACCCGTAATCTCAGGAGGCTAAGGCAGGAAAATTGTTTGAACCTGGGAGGTGGAGTTGCAGTGAGCCGAGACTGCGCCACTGCATTCCAGCCTAGGTGTCAGAGTGAGACTCTGTCAAAAAAAAAAAAAAAAAAAAATAGAAAATGTGTTTTAAGGTTATAACTCTCAGTTATTTTTCAATACTGTTGTAGGATTGAGGGAAAAGGAAGAAACTAATGTGG